GCTCAGGGGAACTACATACGAGCTATCAACACAAAGTCGTGAAAATTTAAGAAATGCAATCAACTTTATGCGACTCTTATCTGAAAAATACGTCATTCCAAACACAGTCACCAATGCATCGCCTACGACAGCTAAACCAGAATTGATTTGTTTAATACCAGCCTTTGCTTATGCTGCATTGTGGGAGAAAATCCCCGAGGATCTTCACGATTTACGTTTGAAGCAAGAACAAGAACGAAACGTTAGATTATCGTCTAGCAACATGTACAAGCCATACTTAGTGAATATGATCTTATCAAATAGGCCAAGAAAATACAGTGAAGTAGTTGCCTATCCACATCAGATTTTAGACTACCACAAAGATAATCCATTTCTGAGAAATACACAAAATAAAGAAAGCCTTCGAGCATTTTTACGCTTGCTAAACGAGAGCGATGACAACGTTCAACGATATTTAGGTCGTGGTAGAGGTTGCTCTTGGAAGACATCTTATATGCACACCCTTGGTTCACTTTCAATTTTGTATGAATTGAAAAAGCGTGCAAAAGAGCTCGGGATACAGGCGGAAGTCACCCCACAAGGAAATTGGGCAAAGAACTTTGCCGCTTTGTCCATCCACCGTCGCGAGGTCTGGGTCATAACGGTAAAAGGGTTCAATAATTTCGTGTGGGGATCTGAATCAGCAGTTGATCAAAACAAATATGGCCGCTATCAAAGCTATGGACAACTTTTGATTGTAAATACTGATCAAGGATTAAAGGCACATGATATTGAGCGCGGCTGGGACTGGAACAGACTTCCAGGTACGACCAGTTTGCGCATGCCTGCAAGACAACTAAAAACAAAAAAGTCGCGATATTACAATCCCAAAAGCCTTTGTGGAGGAATCAATTTTCAAGGGACTAGTCGTTACAGGAATGGAGCTTTTACAATGGATTTTGAGAGGCCTACGTATGAAGATGAAGTTGCAAGATTTTGGTTCAAGAAGTCCGTATTTTTCTACGAAAATCTGGTTGTGTGTTTAGGAAGCGACATACGGTCTAAAAGCTTAGGGCTGAAGCTTTATGATGTTGAAACAACCCTGTTTCAAAATACTCCTGGGGATAAAATGATGTTTATCAAAGCAAATGGATACAACATTCCACTGGGCCTGAATCAGCCTTCCAGGTGGTTAACTTGGGGTAAAAATTCGCCAGGAATGTTGATGGATATCAATCAGAATGGTTATTACATTCCGCATGCCGGCAAACAAAATCTAAACGTGTGGCTGCTCAATCAAACTTCACCCGATACGAAAGCGAAAGCTTACTACGCAACTGCAGTAATACGTCACGGTACAAACCCCAAGGGTGTAAATTATGAATACGCAATATTAGTGAACTGCTCCTACAGGAATGTTTTAAGGATGGCACAAAAGCAACGAAGAACAGGTAGACAACCTCGTTATAGAATCTTAAATCAAGATTATCGCGCACATGTTGTTGAATTGTTAAATTCGCCTCGTGTTGGGCTTACTACTTATTATTACTCCATCTTCAAATCAAACGTAGTTCTTCCAGGACCTCTACGGAGCGTAGGTGATCCATGCATACTCATGGTAGAATATGGAAACACTAGACTTGCAATAGGTATAAGTTTTCCACAATTGAACTTCAATTCTACGCGCAAACTTAGAACATCTCATGACGCTAGAGAGGAAGAGCTATACTACATGCAAAGCCAGGAAAAACGTATTTGGGTATTGCTACGAGATAAAGTACAACGGAATGCTATTCGTATTTCTGTCGATGGGAAAGCAGTAGGTAAACAAGACTATGATAAATATGTTAGAATATACGAGCAACTACACGATAATGATAATGCAGCGTCTATGATCCTCTTCAAGAAATTGTTTAATGGTTTTACAACGGAGGTGCATTTACGAAAAATTGTCAAAAACTGAATCAGCAAGTTACATTGACAGAAATGACGTTATGCAAATGTGTTAAAAGTGACGTCAATGAAAAGCTTTGTCGAAACGTACAAGTTCATTTATCGAAACCAAAAATTGAACTCAATACTCAAAAAAGAAAACCAGAGAAAACGAAGGCTTCTTATGATGAACACCTTTTCCATGGAACTAATGCAGACGGTACTACCAAGGTGTAGGGTCAGTTGCACGCCGCCCGCATACCGCTGTCCATTGGAAACAAGAAAACTATTTTATCTTTCAAATAACGTGTTATTCAGTGGTTATTGTATTTACTGTTGAACTTAAACTCTTTAGTATATCTTTTAAAAGTGGTCTTACACTACGTATTACTAAAACACACACTATTATTTAAAAATAATTGGGAAGAGGGTAATATTCAAATAAGCATGTTTTGCTGTATAAAATTCTTTTGAAATCAGTTTTTTATAGGGATTATAACATGCATATAGCTATGAAATTGCGAAGCCAATAATTAATAGCAAACAAGTTTTAAAACCTCACAATAAATATTTAAGACATTTAAGCCTCGTTTAGTAGCAATATTAATATAACAATATTAAAACGGCAATTTTCAATGATCTTGCTAAAGGCACAACAAATATGTAGGGGAAAATTGAAAATTGGCAGAAACGCGACCAGTTTTTCGAAAAATGTATTCTAGTGTCACATGAAAACTGTTCGTGTAAACTGGGCTTTACTTCCATCATTCATTTTATTGACTTTAATGATAAGACATTCGTCGGTCTGGCTTGCTTTTAGTCACAAACGTTCCGTTGATAACCGTGACGTATTGAACGGAAAAACTTAATGAAAACAGTAATTATCAGAATGGCGGTTGCTGCTTACATTGTTATGGCTATGCGAAAGAATTGAATAAACATAAAAATGATTATCGTCAAGATATGAACCAATCATGGTTACCAATCAATAAAAGATGTCATGGTTACCAATCAACAAAACGTTTAATTTGAAAAAGAATTTACGAGTAGGTAGTGAAACTCAGAAATAATTGTAAAAACATATACTCATTTCACTCGACAAAAAAACTCAGGAAATGGAGAAAAGCGCTAAACTATAAACACAATGTAGTTTTCTGTTAGATACGTACCTTACTTGATAGTTAGAAAAGACAAGGAATTGATGGAAAGATATCTGTGACAACATAACCAGTAAATGATTAACCTACAGTGGAATATTCAACACTTTAACAAATCCACAGATTAAGGTAAATTATAAATGACATATCATATAAGCCTGCAAACATGTAACACACTGGACAGCAGTTTCACAAGTTAATAGAATGAGTAACATACATTGAGTGGTAACATACAGAATAAAGATTTAGATAATATGTCTAGACCAACAGTCCAGTGTTTGCATGTGTGTGTGTGAGCCTATAGCCAACTAGGTATGAATAATACTACCAACCTTTTCATCAAATGTTTTATGTGGGAGAGAATGACTTGGTATAGTGCAAAAATAATGATGAATCCATAAAAACATATTCATGTACTTTTAAAAGTCAGTACATACAATATAAATGTTCATTTTCACTAAACTTAAACTATACATATGACTTACAACACTCACCTTCTAGTGCAGGGTTCATGGCATTTAAACAAACAAAAGTTGGATTTCTCATATATTTCTGTAAATGCTCGCTAAGATAGTATGGATAGGTTGCAGACAAAGCCAACACTTGCTTGCTTTCAGGAAGTGTTGAAAATATCCAACTACAAAGTAAAAAACAAGATTCAATCCTCATATGATGAAAGAAAAAAATGATATTCAACTTATCCATATATTTAATGGTCTTACTTAATCTCATCTTGAAAGTTTTCCTCCAAAAGTTTATCAGCCTCATCAAGAATAAGCAATCGAATGGAAGAAGTAGACAAAAGTTTGCTGTCAATTAGATGTTCTTGCATATGTTGACCAATAGAGTTCATTACATCCTTGATTTGAACAGCTATCTCTCAAGTCGGCACAAGAACCAACACTTGTATTGACATCATTGTAAGAATGATGCTTTCCAAAGCAATCACACTAAAGACACATGTTTTCCCTGTGCCAGATTTTGCTTGTGCAATCAAATCTATAAAGAAAGTCTTTATTAAATTTTTAATTTTTTACACAACAGACTTTACAATGCTTAAATGGAAAGTCATTTTAATTGAAAACCTTTGCATGAACTATCAAACTAAAAATTTTGAGTTCACTTTACTTTTCTGATAGTGAGTGCTTTTCCTACATTAAGACTACATTTCTTTAACGCCAAGAGCTATAAGAAGCCATCCAATTCAAAACTACTAAGTGTGCAATTTCATCAAAGCTTGGCAGTGACCCTTTGAAACATGTACATTGGTGAACTGAATGATGGTGAAATGATGTTTAAAAGTACTTCTGTTATCTTAATGGATTGTTTGATGAAAAGCTCAATAAGGAAAAGTTTCGAATATGTTGACTATTATCAATGAAATCTAACTATCAATGCAGTGCCATTTCCAAGTTGCTAAGACTTGTAGCACACACACTGCCCACATGACACATGGCAAAATTTAGCTGAATGTATGAAACTGTTGTCAACAAAGAAACAGAAAAAAAAACATTATATACAATCCACATCACTTACACCACAACGACCAAGTGGAATAGCTTCCAGTTGAATTGGTGATGGTCTTTCAAATCCAGCACTTTTCAACCCTTTGAGGACATCTTTTGATAAAATTAACCCTGAGAAATCGACTTTCTCATTGATTAACACGTCTGCTGTGCGACGTTTTGCATTTAAACGATGTGCAATAACTCTACGGTGCATTTTTCCTAAAAACGTTCAAACTTTCTATTACAAAATTTGTTGAGTGAACATTGATACATTGACCACTGACCTGTATACTAATGAGCTGGATGGATTCCTCCACTGCAAACAAAATTACACTGCATATAACATTCTTTCAAAATTAAATTCATTTTTTTTTAAACATATGTTAATATCTTATACGGCAAATGTTGGTTAATTTTTTGTTTTTCACATTACCCATAATTCCTGGATCCTCGACAGTCTGTCTATTTTTTTGACGACAAACGTCAGCAACGACAGAATTCTTGAGATGTGTAAAATGTTCTTGTTTTCTTTTACCAAAATTTTAATATGCCATAGTTCAAGATTTGTTGTGGAACTTTCGCTATTGTCTGAATTATTTTCAATTACTCCCGTTAAACTTTCTTCATTTTTCTTTTGTTCATTATTGTTAACACATTTCAAGCTTTTATCAACAACAATGTCAGTGAAAGCTACAGTTTCGTGAATTTTATTCTTCGCTCCTTCATTCAAACCTTCAACTAAATTTTCCATTGTCATTGTGGAACTCGTTTCGCCATTATGAACAAGGTTTGTAGTTTCACAGCAAAGGATATCATCTTCTTTCACCTTCCCTTCTCCAACTATGGTTGTAGCAGCCGTAGAAGTTAATGAAGGTATCTCGCCTTTTGTCTTCATCAAACTACATTCGGCAAACGCATCTTCACATATGAGCTCAGATAAATCTTCTAAATATTAATAATAATTATGATAATGACAATGATAGTAATAATTCTAAATACTAATAATATAAATACTAAATATGGAAGGAAATATATTTTAGATTATTATAAAAAATTCATATCATGCTATGATATTATTCTTTAAAACATAAACATTACCTGGCAAAGGATCGAAGTTTATTCCACATTTAATTTCGATGTCTTTCAAACTTGATTCCTCTTTTCCTGCGGCTACGAAATTTATGGCCACGCCATACGATCCTGTTTAACGTTCAAAACTAAACATAATCCCCAATAATGAATGAAATTTTTCCTCTGTTGGGAAGATGTTTGACGTACGCATTAAAAATTATGAAAAAATAGATGAGAAGTTGGTTCCCATACTCGATGACTTATCATACGATATGTGGCTTTGATAATGGCAAATGTATTTCTGATGAGCCATCATGATACCAAATTATTCTTTAATAGACGGATAGGTTAGGTAGGTAACGATGGATTTTATAGGAATGTAAGTAGAATGGATTGGTGGCATGGGTTGATATAAGGGTACATAGAGTACAACCATAAGCTTATTTGTCATTTTATCGACGTCATTTTATACGTATTGATCAACATTTGTCTTTTTTCTTGTTGTGTAAAAACGTGTTACGTCGTGAACAAAAAAATAATATCATTGTCCAACATCGAAACATGACATTGTGCAAGTAAAAATAGCCAACCATGTTCAAATCTTTCTACCTTGAGATCTACTATCCGCAAATATTTTAACAGTATGTAAAATCGCCACTTTCAGCAACGCCATCCTCGTCAAAAAAATAATGGACAACTGTTGTTGTAAATTGTCATGTTATGTTGTGTAGTGTGTGAATATACCGTATGATATAAACTGTAAAATGTTAAGTCATATATTACTAGAAAAATACGTATATAGTTACTAAACTGTGGTTTCAGTGGAAATCCTGTACGTAAATTCAAAATACTTAGCAACACTTTTTCTACCCAATGTGGCATTGCGGTAGGATGTAGGCATTGCGGTAGGATGTAGGTACTCTATGAACGGAATGGCGTAATTGCAAGTCATGCAAACGCCCAAAAATTATATCCTAATAATTATACATAAATATAGCTTGCAAGCGTTGGTTCGGGAGTTCGGAAAAGTTGTAGTTGTTGGTGTATGAACTGGTCATACAAATTTGATGAATTAGAGTTGTATTGCAGAAGGCAATAAATTTCGAAAACGCAGTTGTAGGATTGACGGTTGTCCGTAATCTAAACGAGGTCAAATTTAATCATTCCGCATCGCGAAGAACCAACGCTTGGAACGGAAAATCGTGCACAACACTGTAAATATCTTATTGAAGTGTTAAAATTATATATTCAAAATACAGTCCCATCGTTAGTGTGAAGTTTTAGAACAGTGAACCAGCACTTCGCGCAGATTGTGCGAAAATTGTTGTAATTGGCTATCTATAAAAAATTTAAATGGTGACCTACCGTAACGTCCAGCCCTCCCAACTCTATGTAAATATGTCTCAGAGTCACGTGGAAGATCCATGTTAATCACAAGGTTCACACGTTCAGCGTCGATGCCACGAGACATCTATAGATACAGAAGATAAAGTATGGATAGATGTATTGAACAAGGGATAAATGTTTTGATCAAGGGATAAATGTTGTGATGAGGGGATAAAAGTTGTTATGAGGGGAGAGATGTTGTGATGAGGGGAGAGATGTTGCGACGAGGGGATCATCGCAGTACAAATGAATTTCCACATAAATTTTTGAATGTTAATGCTCCTGTTTAAAGATAATTTTAAATCAAACAAATCATTCTAATAATACCAGTACTACTTATAATGGTAGAGAAGATTCAATGGGAGATTCACTCTACACTATAATTCAAGATACAATCTCTCGAGATGTTACCTCTGATATTAATCATAACATTAACGAGTGACGTTGTAACACTGTATACTGGATGCTATTATTAATAAAATTTATCATAACATTGACGAGTTACTCTTGGAAGTAATACAAGATGCTATCTTTAATACTAATGTAATCATAACATCGAAAAGTTACCCTAGATGGAATACAGATGCTATCTTTAATACTAAGAATATTTCTACTTTAACTGTCGTCCAAGTATCCTAGCAAGAAAATATAGAAATCAGTTAACGTCACTTACAAGATCTGTTGATATCAAAATACGACATTTGAGCTCCTTCAACTTCCTCATTGCATCAAGACGTTCATTTTGCCCTTGACCACCTTTCTCAAAAAAATAAACATAAAAAAATAAACATGACTGTATTTCATTCTTGGCTTATCCAATGACAGAGAAGAAAATTAACATAGTGATGAGAATTAACAGACCAGCCAGTACAAAAGCGGCGAAACTTGTTTTATAAACTAACACTAACCAAAGTATGACAAAACATCATGTTTCTGAAACACAGTGGCATGACCTACTTTGTTATTTACTTTGGTAAATATTTTTATTAGAAAATACCCAGAAAGCATCTTGGTGTTCATGAATACGAAAAACAAAATAAGGAAAATTAACCTAAATGACAAGTTGAGCTAAGATAACTGACCAAGATTTATAAATTACATAGCAAACACTACCTGAAATATGTGTAGAAGGGAATCCATTTTTAGCTAAAGTTTCACTCAAATTCTTTGCTCTATGAAATAAATTTATACATAAAAATTAAGAACAAGCATACAAATTGTGACGGTAATGAGCACCATGTAGTTTTTTGTTAGATACATACCTTACTTGATAGTTAGAAAAGATAAGGCATTGATGGAAAGATATCTGTGACAGCATAACCAGTAAATGATTAACCTACAGTACAATATTCAACACTTTAACAAATGCACAGATAAGGTAAATTATAAATGTCATATCATATAGACCTGCAAACATGCAACACACTGGACAGCAGTTTTACAAGATAATAGAATGAGTAACATACAGCACCGACCTCGAGTAACACGACATGACTCGCGAGTATCGAATGGCGAGTGGGCGAGTGACTCGCGAGTCACTCTCGAGTGCGAGAAGTTTGCGAGTGAATAAGTGACTCGCTGTTTGCGAGTGAATCGAAATAACTTGCAAAAATTTCTTTCTCCAGTATTTGAAATTGACAAACATAATCTTAAGTGTAGTGACAAGTAAAATTCCTTCAACATTTTGAAGGCAACGGTTTTATATCTTTTTATGAAACATGGGAGCAAAACGACTATTCATCTGAAGCAATATCTCGGGATCTAATGACGTTAAAATCTTTTGAATTTTTTTACAAAAGCTTTTTAATATCTTCACATTTTTCATGGCACAAACGTTATTCGTAAAGCGGTAGAGACCATAGAGAAATTACTGAGAAAATCAAAGTAACTCTCAAAGATTTTCTTCTAACAGTTTTAGATTGTTGACATATATTATCTTAGGATAGAATACATTCAAAAACGACTAGAGCAACTCGTCACTGTCGGGTGACTCTAGTGACATACACCTATCGATAATATTTCCATGCACTTTAGTTGGCTTGCGTTATATGTATGAGTCATTCTGCGTATATGTAACTATTTATAGGACATGATTTCATTAATTGCTGACTTTAAGTGTCTATAGCTTTTATGAATAGAGTTTGCATGAAATATGGAAAACGGAAGTCATTACTCGAACGATAATCCTTTTACCACGAGGTGACTTTTTTAAACTTTTAGTGTATCAATTATTTTTTCATATAAATATTCCTCTCTGAAAGAAATCGACGAATCGACAAGCAGCACCGAACTTGACAAGTTTTGCCTTGTAGTGAGACAGAATGCCTTGTCTGTTGGTCACTTCGCCAAGTTCTGGCAGAAAAAGTGTTTTCTCCAGTAGAAAGATATTTGACCTCAAACAATATTCGTTTTTGAATGTATTCTATCCTAAGATAATATATGTCAACAATCTAACTTGTTGAAGTGCTCGTGGAGGAGTTTTGTAAAACATCGCAATTGAAAGCATTGAAACATTGCTTATAATTTCGGAAACAATTGTTGACGCTTGCTTATTGACCGCCATTTTGTTTAAGGACTGCAGTTATTGTCACCTGCTGTTTGTGAGAGACAATGTGAGAGATCCTTTCCACTTTTTCTCTGTGTCTTATTCTCGATAAGTTATTTTTTGTTGAAATATTCTCCATAGGTTATTTTTAAACACAACATTCACAATCAAGAAGACTACACGCATCTCAAAACAGAGCTGGCACACATCGCTCACTCGTACATCTCATCTTATCACCCAACACCAGCTGACTTCAAAAAACATCACATCCTTAAAAACATTCGCAACAATCCAAACATTATCATTCTCAAACCGGACAAAGGCAACGGCGTTGTAATCATGGATCGCAACTCCTGCCTTAAAATCACTAACAATACAGCAAAGTTTAGTTTCATCAATCAACGCATACAATTATAATTTAGCTAAGTATCTTAGTTCTCTACTTACACCACTCATACCAGATGACCACTCCACTAAAGATTCTTTCACTTTCCTCGACGACTTCTCATCTTTCAACTCATCAACTTCTTGTCACAAATTCTTCATCTCTTACGACGTTGAAAGCCTATTTACTAACATACCACTTACTGAAACCATCAACCTAGCAATCGACTAATATTCACTCACAACCCTAGGTTCATTATAAACTGGACAGACCTCACACAACTGTTTTTAATAGCAACAGCACAGACGCATTTTTTATTTAATGGAAAATTTTATGACCAGACGGACGGTGTTGCGATGGGCTTTCCCTTAGCACCCATACTTGCTAACATTTTCATGGGCTCACATGAACGAAACTGGCTAAACAACTACAACGACACTAAACCACTATTTTACCGCAGATACGTTGACGATATTTTTTGTGTTTTTACTAACGAAACTGAGGCCATGAAGTTTTATAATTACATTAACACACAGCACGCAAACATTAGATTTTCATTTGAAACTGAACAACAAGATCAACTGCCATTTCTTGACATTTTACTAACAAAATCTCACGACAGCTGCACAACATCTGCATACCACAAACCAACATACACAGGACTTCTGAAGAACTATTTTAGTTTCACACCACTTTCATACAAAACCGGACTTATACGCACACTAATCGACAGAGCATACAAACTTAACAATACGAACAATGGCTTTCAACGAGACATAAAAAACATCACATCCACTCTTTTACGAAACTCTTTCCCACTTCACTTTATTAACAGAACCGTAAAACGATATCTCGACAACAAACAAAGCAACAACCTCAAACTAGACACCGAAACTCCTGACACGACGATCACAACCAACACAAATGAAAATTCCAAAATAACAACTCTATACTTAAAACTACCATACATCGGACATTACTCACGACACACACAACGCAGACTTACAAACATTATGAAACGCTTCTGTACAGATATTGACATTCGACTAATTTTCACATCATTCAAAATCAAAAACCTTTTCTCATTCAAAGACCCAATCCCTGATTCAATTAAATCTATGGTGGTATATGAATTCAATTGCGTGGGATGTAATTCCCGATACATTGGCGAAACTTCGCGCCATTTATCCACCAGAATCAGGGAACATACCACAACAGACAAAAACTCTCATATCTACCGACACCTTCTTAAATCTCACTCATGTAAAACCAACTATTCACCCTCTTGCTTCAAAATCATCGACACTGCCGACACCTTATTCACCCTTAAAATCAAAGAAGCACTCCACATTAACAAAACTAACCCTGACCTCAATGTTCAAGTTTTTAAATTCAATACAATATTTAGTTTATAATACGCTCGGATGCTCCTCATTAATTTATCTTATTTCCTTTTTCTTGTTGTAATTTATCTATCATATTTCTTTTATATAAACCTTGTATCACCTATTATTTCACTCATACTGAAGATGGCATCATGAGATGTCGAAACATGTCTATTTTCAAAAAAGTTGTCGTTTATATTAAATGTGCAGGTTATTTTTTCTTGAAATATTCACGATAGGTTATTTTTTCTTGAAATATTCACGATAGGTTATTTTTTCTTGAAATAGTCTGGGTAGTAAAATTTCTCAGAACAGTGTTTTTCATCTTCCAAAACTCGACCATGTTGCACGTGATCCTCTGAAGCACATTTGCGACTCGATACCCTCTTTTAAACTCGATACCCTTTTGGCCGGAACGGCTTTCAATATTCTGTCACAAAATCGTAGACATCTATCGTTTTAGAAAGCAAGACATGTTTTGAGAAAATAAAAACCCGAGAAGGTCATATCTTGACAAAGACATTCAAGAATCGATAAAAAGATGAAAGATATACATAAACAAAATGGAAACATTATTTAATGAAACAGAAATACGAACATACAATGTAAACTTGGTCAGTAAATTATAAAAGTCTTCGACAATGGCTACAAATGACTCGTATGGTGGATATGAACAAGAAAGATTTGCCGATAAAGTTCATCCAAGATTTGAATGTCCTATATGTTTTACGATATTTAAAGATCCTGTTCAATGTCCAAACGAACATTATTTCTGTCGCACTTGTATCGAAAGATACTTGTTAACTTCTGATAAATGTCCTGAATGTCGATGTCATCTCACTAAGGAGACATTAAAGACAGCGAGGTTCATTAGGGAAATGTTAGAAGATCTTGATATTCGCTGTGCGAATGCCAACCGTGGTTGTCCTGAAATTATGAAGCTTCAATTTCTCGAACGTCATGAGAAGAACTGTGGTTATTCACCTACACCTTGTAGAAATGAAGGTTGTGACGAAGTCATCAATAAAAACGAGATTGAAGAACATGAAAGGGAACGATGTGAGTTCCGTCTCATCGATTGTGAAGAATGCAAAATGATTCTCGTATTTAAGTATCGAAGATCTCATCCATGTTTTATGAGGAAAGAGATTGACGAGTTGACCAAAAGATTGGAGATGTTTCAAAAGAGTCAAGATGACAGGGCAAAGCATGTTGAAGAGCGAGTTAGGTTGAATCATGAAATGGTGACTCATGTCGAAGAACAAGTGAGGTTGAATCGTGATGAAATGGCGAGTCATGTAGAAGAGCAATTGAGGTTGAGTCGTAACGAAATGACGTTTCTTACAACAGAAACGACAGAAAGATATAATTTTCTTACAGGAAAAGTAAAGATTTTTGTTTGCGGAGGTTATGATGGCAAGAATATTTTGAATTCAGTCGAGTCTTTCAACTGGGATTTAAATTGTTGGCAACAGGAACCAAAAATGAATGAAGAACGATCTGTAGCAGCTGCATTTGTTCATGGTCGAGAAATATTTATCAGTGGTGGTTGCAATAGGAAACAATTCTTTGGAAACATCGAGAGTTTAAATGTGGATGGAAAATTGGAATGGCAAATATCTCCTGTCATGTTACCAAGAAAGTGTAATGGACATAGTTTGGTTTATCATAATGATAATGTGATTATGATTGGTGGATGTAATGAAAACGAAGACTTTGATACACTCTATAGTATTCAACTAAATCCTCCACCTACAACAAAATTACTGGCGCGAATGCCAAAGATAAGATGTTTCCATGGCTCAATTATCATTGGCGACGATGTTTTAGTATTTGGTGGGGAAACATCTGCACAATGGAATAAAATCAAAAACTCTGTTTATTCATACAGTCTCAGTAAAAAAGAATGTAAAACCTTGGCTCCACTTCCATATGCTGTAAGTGCCATGGGTATAGTAAGTTATAGAGGTAATGCAATTTTGATTGGAGGTGCAAATGATAAAGGTGAAATATTGGATAAATCTTTTATGTACGATGTGAAAACAGGACAAACTACAATGCTTCCTTCACTTAATCATAAAAGATCTGGATGTTCAGCAGTTATCATTGGAAATATTATTGTTGTGGTTGGGGGACATGATGGTGAATTGTATCTTAATTCAGTTGAATGTCTTGATATGAGTACAAACGTTTGGAGAGAACTACCTCCTATGATGACCAAACGAAGTTTTGCTGCTGCTGTTGTTTCACCAATTTATTAAAAATTTCATTACTAAAACATACAGGTTTTATGTTTTACTAAAATAATTTTTGGTAGTCATAAAATGAAACAACCATTTTAAAAACATAAGTCTACAGTTTAAAGTACAACGTTTTTCCTCGAATAGGGCGCCTACCTTTTTTATTAAAGCCATTTAAAGAAATGTCAATTTTCATGATGAGATTTATATTACTGATAAACTGTTAACATGTACGTAACTTATAATGCAATGTAAATAATTACCTTAAAGTTTCTAAAAACATATTTTGCAACAGCATGTTAATTATTCTTAATAACTGTCACACATGTACACAGATATAGCTACCTAGGTCATGATTGTCACACATGTACACAGATATAGCTACCTAGGTCATGATCGTCACACATGTACACAGATATAGCTACCTAGGTCATGATCGTCACACATGTACACAGATATAGCTACCTAGGTCATGATCGTCACACATGTACACAGATATAGCTACCTACGTCATGATCGTCACACATGTACACAGATATAGCTACATAGGTCATGATCGCACCCAACGTTAAAAACCGTAACAATTGTTTCTTTGAATAACCAGTTCTCGGTAATGATTAAAAAACATTTTATGCACAGTTATGGAAAACTGTATTATTAATAAAATATACATTAAATGTACAAAAGATCGCAATCTGAAAGTGATTTGATTACAACTTAAATCAAAAAACCATTTCTTTCATGTAGCCCAACTTTTTTTTATTTTGAGCGAGAATGAATGTTTATTAGAAACCCGCTCAATATACAGAGTAAGAAAGAAGTTCACATAATCATCATCGCACTAATGAATGCCTAACTTAGGTACACTATAAATGGCAGCGAAGAGATTTAGATACCGAAAGAAACCCTTGCACAACCTTATCTATTATTTCTAAAAGATTTATTTTCCAAGAGAAACCCGTTCACAACCTTCATCCCTAAACGATCCATCACTAACTTATCTTTCATTTCCAGAATAATACAAACGTTAACATGGTATTCACAAAACTGTGTCAGGCGTTGAAGGAAGAACATGACGTGACTGCAACAGGTACAATGAACTTTAACGATGTAACACTTACTAAGAAAAAGCGTTCGTATTGCAGACTATGTAAGATCAGCAGCTGTTGCAAATGAACAGAAAATGATTTGGTTGATTCGTTTGGACGAATTACTTATCATGAACCCTGATTTCGTATTGGAGTATCAAGCGTAGTTCTTAGAAATTTCTCTATATGTCTCGTCTCATCATATTGTAACTCCTATACTGTTGAATCTGATAGTACCAAAAAACACGACAATATGGACATAATACGATATGTAAGCATAAAAAATTAGGAAAAATGAGACAAGGTAAAATAACAAGGACACGTGCTAAAGTGTAATCGTCAGTTGAACCTTCGTGGTATTTAAATTTCAAAATAAACTAAGAATGGTGCGAACTCAATTCTATCGTACGAAATAAGTCAAATGAAAGAACTTTATCTTTAACAAGATACAATGTAAATGTAAAATGAAGACTTTTATACTAAAATGTAGATAAAGCTAAAACAAGATTATTGAAGAAAAAAGACAGGTTCTTTTTAATGCTCCCAAGTATTACTTTAAAACAATCCTGCTTAGAAGTTCAATATTATTCTCAAATATTTTGTATACTGTTGGAGTTGATTCCGATTTCATTTAAAATAAAATCGTCATTTGATTCTTTTTGTAGTTTGTCGATATATAAGTATAAATTGATGTACATAATGAATATATTCTTTTGTTTAGCTATCTTATAATTATTTTCTAAAATGTGACACAAACAACAATACGCAAATATGACTTTTTTGAAAATCTTTCAATAAAAGGAAACAACATCTTGTGACTCGTCAGAGCCTGCATCAAACACAGCAACAGGGGATGGGGGACACAACATTACTGACGTCGTTCTCACTTCGTCAATGACGTAATAGCAAGCAAGTTCATTTGAAATTCATGTTATATTTAAGTAACATAAATATAAATTTAATTTTTCCATCTTCATCCGTACAAAATCCTCACGGAACCTATTAAGAACAGAGTAGGTATTTTAGCCGATTAAAATACCAGATATCTCTCATCAATAACTTTCATGATAAAACTTCGTGTATTTCATTATGTGATTGGTTTGTTTATCGTAGGCTCTATACCACATGTTTGTCCAATCAACGGGCAACTGCGCCATGTAGGCTGTGACGTCATCAGTGGTGGCACCATAAAACATGGCTTCCATGCCATGGTTCCATACGTTGCGGGAATCGGTCGAATTGACTGTCGTATTTGTTTTATTAGTTTCTAAATTGCAGGACTGTGCACCAACACAATCTTGTGGAGCAGAAGTTCTCATTTCTAAAACTTCTCTCTCATAACCAGAGACGAATTCTGTTGAGCCAAATTCATTAAACTCATCGAGGAAGCTTGTTCTCTTTGCCAAACAGGATAATGGTTTTTCGTTTTCTAAATCTTTATGAAGGCCTGTGTTTGCATGATCGTTTAAATGTTTTACAAACATATCATCAAAATACCTGCATGAGATAGGCGCGTGCAACTCGCTTGATTTTTCACACAAATCGCGCAGCTTTGCACACAAATCGTGTGCTACTTCACACGAATCACGCGAGTCTTTAAACGAACCACGCAAATTTTCATACGATTCATACGACTCTTCACACGCACTACTTGACTCTTCACTCAAATCACATGACTCTTCAGTAGAATCACATGACTCTTCAGTAGAATCATTTGACCCTTCACAAGAATCACGTGACTCTTCACGCCAGTCGCAATTTTGGCTTGACGATTCGCAATCATCACAAACGGAGGATTCCGACAACTCAAATTCATCCAATTTGTTTTTCTCAGTAAAAAATCCATTATCCCATTGTTTAGGAAAGATGACTTGTGACGTTGAAGGATAAATCATAGCACTTTTAAAGTTATTTAGTTTGTTTTCTGTATCGTATATTGTTTCAATGTTGTGATGACTTTTGATCTCTTTTCCTTCTACACTGTTCACTTTGGATGTCATAGCTTCCTGATTTTCAACAGCAACATTTTCACTTTTAACGTCAACAAATTCGTTTTTCACATTACCCATAATTCCTGGATCCTCGACAGTCTGTCCGTTTCCTTGACGACAAACGTCAGCAACGACGGAAGCTTGAGATGTGTAAATGCTCTTGTTTTCAGCCAACTCAACATCTTTAATAATGCCATAGTTTAAGATTTCCGTTGTGGAACTTTCGCTATTGTCTGAATTATTTTCAATTACTCGCGTTAACTTTTCTTTATTTTTCCTTTGTTCATTATTGTTAACACATTCAAAACTTTTATCAACCACAATGTCAGTGAAAGCTACAATCTCGTGAATTTTATTCTTCGCTCCTTCATTCAAACCTTCAACTAAATTTTCTTTCGTCATTGTGGAACTCGTTTCGCCATTATGAACAAGGTTTGTAGTTTCACAGCAAAGGACATCATCTTCTTTCACCTTCCCTTCTCCAACTATGGTTGTAGCAGCCGTAGAAGTTAATGAAGGCATCTCGCCTTTTGTCTTCATCAAACTACATTCGGCAAACGCATCTTCACATATGAGCTCAGATAAATCTTCTAAATATTAATAATAATTATGATAATGACAATGATAGTAATAATTCTAAATACTAATAATATAAATACTAAATGTGGAAGCAAATATATTTTAGATTATTATAAAAAATTCATATCATGCTATGATATTATTCTTTAAAACATAAACATTACCTGGCAAAGGATCGAAGTTTATTCCACATTTAATTTCGATGTCTTTCAAACTTGATTCCTCTTTTCCTGCGGCCACGAAATTTATGGCCACGCCATACGATCCTGTTTAACGTTCAAAACTAAACATAATCCCCAATAATGAATGAAAATTTTCCTCTGTTGGGAAGATGTTTGACGTACGCATTAAAAAAGTACGAAAAAATATATGAGAAGTTGGTTCCCATAACCGAAGGCTTATCATACGATACATGGCTTTGATAATTGCAAATGTATTTCTGATGAGCCATCATGATAACAAATTATTCTTTAATAGATGGATGGGTTAGGTAGGTAACGATGGATTTTATAGGAATGTAAGTAGAATGGATTGGTGGCATGGGTTGATATAAGGGTGCATAGGGTACAAGCATAAGCTTATTTGTCATTTTATCGACGTCATTTTATACGTATTGATCAACATTTGTCTTTTTTCTTCTTGTGTAAAAACGTGTTACGTCGTGAACAAAAAAATAATATCATTGTCAAACATCGAAACATGACATTGTGCAAGTAAAAATAGCCAACCAGGTTCAAATCTTTCTACCTTGAGATGTACTATCCGCAAATATTTTAGCAGTATGTAAAATCGCCATTTTCAATAACGCCATCCTCGTCAAAAAAAAAAAAATGGACAACTGTTGTAATTAGCTATCTATAAATAATTTAAATGGTGACCTACCGTAACGTCCAGCCCTCCCAACTCTATGTAAATATGTCTCAGAGTCACGTGGAAGATCCATGTTAATCACAAGGTTCACACGCTCAGCATCAATGCCACGAGACATCTATAGATACAGAAGATAAAGTATGGATAGATGTTTTGATCAAGGGATAAATGTTGTGATGAGGGGAGAGATGTTGGGATGAGGGGAGAGATGTTGGGATGAGGGGATAGATGTTGTGATAAGGGGAGAGACGGTGCAACGATGGGATCATCTCAGTACAAATGAATTTCCACATATATTTTTTAATGTTAATGCTCCTGTTTAAAGATAATTTAAAATCCAACAAATCATTCTAATAATACCAGTACTACTTATAATTACTTATAATGGTAGAGAAGATTCAATGGGACATTCACTCTACACTATAATTCAAGACTCAATCTCTCGGGATGTTACCTCTGATATTAATCATAACATTAACGAGTGACGTTGTAACACGGTATACCGGATGCTATCATTAATAAAATTTATCACAACATTGACGAGTTACTCTTAGAAATAATACAAGATGCTATCTTTAACATAAATCAAAATATTAACGAGTTACTCCTTGCTTGTTATACATAATGCTTCCGTATCACAGTATTGACAAGTTACCCTTGTTAGTAATACAAGATGCTAGCTTTAATACTAATGTAAGCACAACATTGAAAAGTTACCCTAGATGGAATACAGATGATTTCTTTAAAATTAAGAATATTTCTACTTTAACTGACGTCCAAGTATCCAAGCAAGAAAATATAGAAATCAGTTAACGTCACTTACAAGATCTGTTGATATCAAAATACGACATTTGAACTCCTTCAACTTCCTCATTGCATCAAGACGTTCATTTTGGCCTTGACCACCTTTCTCAAAAAAATAAACATAAAAAAATAAACATGACTGTATTTCAATCTTGTTTTATCCAATGACAGAGAACAAAATTAACATAGTGATGACAATTAACAGACCAGCCAGTACAAAAGCAGAGAAACTTGTTTTATAAACTAACACTAAACAAAGTATGACAAAACATCATGTTTCTAAAACACAGTGGCATGACCTCTCTACTTTGTTATTTACTTTGATAAATATTTTTATTAGAAAATACCCAGAAAGCATCTTGGTGTTCATGATTACAAAAACAAAATAAGGAAAATTACCCTAAATGACAAATTGAACAAAGATAATTGACCAAGATTTATAAATTACATAGCAAAAACTACCTGAAATATGTGTAGAAGGAAATCCATTTTTAGCCAAAGTTTCACTCAAATTCTTTGCTCTATGAAATAAATTTATACATAAAAATTAAGAACCACCATACAAATTGTGACAGCAATGAACACAATGTAGTTTTTTGTTAGATAAATACCTTATTTGATAGTTAGAAAAGATAAGGCATTGATGGAAAGAAATCTGTGACAACATAACCAGTAAATGATTAACCTACAGTAGAATATTCAACAATTTAACAAATGCACAGATTAAGGTAAATTATAAATGACATATCAAATAAGCCTGCAAACATGCAACACACTGGACAGCAGTTTCACAAGTTAATAGAATGAGTAACATACATTGAGTGGTAACATACAGAATAAAGATTTAGATAATATGTCTAGACCAACAGTCCATGTATGTGTAGGCCTATAGCCAACTAGGTATGACCAATACTACCAACCTTTTCATCAAATGTTTTATGTGGGAGAGAATGACTTGGTATTGTGCAAAAATAATGATGAATCCCTTAAAACATATTCATGTACTTTTAAAAATCAGTACATACAATATAAATGTTCATTTTCACTAAACTTAAACTATACATATGACTTACAACACTCACCTTCTAGTGCAGGGTCCATGGCATTTAAACAAACAAAAGTTGGATTTCTCATATATTTCTGTAAATGCTCGCTAAGATAGTTTGGATAGGTTGCAGACAAAGCCAACACTTGCTTGCTTTCAGGAAGTGTTGAAAATATCCAACTACAAATTATAAAACAAGTTTCAACCATGTTTCATATTATGAAAGAAAAAATCAATGATATTCAAATTATCCATATATTTAATGGTCTTACTTGATCTGATCTTGAAAGTTTTCCTCCAAAAGTTTATCAGCCTCATCAAGAATAAGCAATCGAATGGAAGAAGTAGACAAAAGTTTGCTGTCAATTAGATGTTTGACCCGTCCTAAATGATGATTGAAAAATTGATTTCGCAAATGTATCTGACGAGGTTAAGAAGAAACACTAACTTGTACCTTACCTGATGATATTAAATGTATTTTTTGGTATGATTGCTTATGTATAGTACTTTGCTTGGCACTGACATTCCAAATTATAAAAATATTTCTGCCCAAAGCTATACGTATTCATTCCCAAATGATATGCAATTGATAAATATTTAACTGCTCCACCTACCTGGTGTACCAATAGCAATTTGACAAAGTTTCAACTTGTTCTTGTCATCTTCAATAGACAAACCACCAATAAAAACATTTACATGAAGTCCTTGCATATGTTGACCAATAGAGTTCATTACATCCTTGATTTGAACAGCTATCTCTCGAGTCGGCACAAGAACCAACACTTGTATAGACATCATTGTAAGAATGATGCTTTCCAAAGCAATCACACTAAAGACACATGTTTTCCCTGTGCCAGATTTTGCTTGTGCAATCAAATCTATAAAGAAAGTCCAAAATTTTTAATTTTTTAGAAAACATACTTTAATATACGTTTTTCGACAATAGACTTTACCAGACTTAAATGGAAAGTCATTTTAATGGAAAACCTTTGCATGAACTATTAAACTAGAAATTTTGAGTTCACTTTACTTTTCTGAGAGTGAGTGCTTTTAGAGAGTGAGTGTATAGACTGATTCAAGAAATTCAAAGTTGCAATGCATGAACTTTAACCCAAATAAACTTTTTACTTTCTTTACCACTTGTTGTTCAGACCACTCTTTGCTAAATTGTACTCCACAGACAATATTTTGGTGCTCTTTTAAATACAATTCAGTTCCTTGTCTAGGGACACAATGATCACAGGGGCCAGTAAGAAGAACAATCTTTTTAAAATAGAAGGTATTTAGTTTAACCTTCGAAGTTTTTTTTCTTGGAAGATTGCCATTTCCTTTTTCTGGTTAAGTTAAGCTGGTCAAGACAGTATTGACTATTTGAACTTCCACTAGATAATTTTTGATTTTGCTAATTTACCTGTGTTTGCCTGAGATTGTTCGGCTTTTGAATGCTCACTGAACTTTGCCGATAACCTGAGATTCTGTGATAGCTTGCTGAGACATATTTCTTTCTGTCACTCCACAATTGCTTTCTTGCTTTTGCTCATTTACCTCATCATCACAAACATTTACATAGAGATTTCCCATTTTCCCATTCACCTGGCTATGCATTACATCTTTTCCTCGAATTAGTTGGTTATTCTTGTTTGTGACTTGTGGAACTAGTTGGTTGTTTTGAAAAGGCAGTAAGGAACATCTTTTCCTTTCATTCCGCTGTATGTAGATAAAAATTGTAACATATCAAGTTTATTAACACAAAGCCTCAAATTTCTCACATACAATAAAAATTTAATAAGATAGAGTTTTTCAAAGTGCTGAAGCACAAATACAGTAAACAAGCACAGAAACTAAAAACATATGCAGCACATGTTTTGCTCACAAGAAAGATACAGTTGTCAAAAATTGTATATCTGTCATCTTTGTACTGTAAGATATTATTGATATATCTGATAAAATTCATAACTAGTTGCACAAATTTAAAATAATTGACGCAAAAATTCAAATCCATCCATGTTGCCCAAGAAATGTGTTAGTTGAACTGAATTAATAGTAACAACAACATGGCAAATTTTTCGCAAATGGCAAAGAGTATTAAATGTAAAATCACTAAAATGTTCGCTGTTTATGCTAAATTTATTAAAAACGTACTGATCCTGGATGAAATATGCTTTGGACTTCTTCCTCCACAGTATTGCTTGAGGTTGCTGAAGTGCTCGGGGAGGAGTTTTGTAAAACAACGGAAAGCATTGAAAAATTGCTTTTAATTTCGGAAACAATTGTTGACGATTGCTTATTGACCGCCATTTTGTTTAAGGATTGCAGTTATTGTCACCTGCTGTTTGTGAGAGAGAGTGTAAGAGATCCTTTCCACCTTTTCTCTGTGTCTTATTCTCGATAGGTTATTTCTTGTTGAAATATTCTCGATAGGTTATTTTTGTTCAAATATTCTGGGTAGTAAAATTTCTCGAAACAGTGTTTTTCATCTTCCAAAACTCGACCATGTTGCACGTGATTCTTGGTAGCACATTTGCGACTCGATACCCTTTTTTAAACTCGATACGCTTTTTTAAACTCGATACCCTTTTGGCCGGAACGGCTTTCCATATTCTGTGACAAATCGTAGACATCTATCGTTTTAGAAAGCAAGACATGTTTTGAGAAAATAAAAACCCAAGGACGTCATCTTGTCAAAGACATTATAGAATCGATAAAAAAATGGAAGATATGCATGAAGAAAATGGAAACATTATTTCATGAAACAGAAATACGAACATACAATGTAAACTTTGTCAGTAAATTATAAAAGTCTTCAACAATGGCTACAAATGACTCGAAAGGTGGATATGAACAGGAGAGATTTCTCGATAAAGTTCATCCAAGATTTGAATGTCCCATATGTTTCAAAATATTTAAGGATCCTGTTCAATGTCCAAATCAGCATTATTTCTGTCGTTCTTGCATTGAAAGATGTCTGCATACTTCGAATAAATGTCCTCAATGTAATTGTCAAATCACGTCGGAGACATTGCAGGATATACCTAGAATTGTCAGCGAAATATTGGAAGATCTTGATATTCGCTGTAAGAATGTTAACCGTGGTTGTCCTGAAATTATGAAGCTTCAATTTCTCGAACGTCATGAGGAGAACTGTGGTTATTCGCCTACACCTTGTAGAAATAAAGGTTGTGACGAAGTCATCAATAAAAACGAGATTGAAGAACATGAAAGGGAACGATGTGAGTTCCGTCTCATCGATTGTGAAGAATGCAAAATGATACTTGTGTTCAGATACAGACGATCTCATTCATGTTTCTTGTGGAAAGAGATTAATGAGTTGACCAAAAGATTGGAGATGTTTCAAAAGAGTCAAGATGACAGAGTTAAGCATGTTGAAGAGCGAGTGAGGTTGAATCGTGATGAAATGGCGTTTCTTACAACAGAAACGACAGAAAGATGTAATTTTCTTACGGGAAAAGTAAAGATTTTTGTTTGCGGAGGAAATGATGGCAAGAATCGTCTTAATTCTGTCGAGTCTTTCAACTGGGATTTAAATTGTTGGCAACTGGAACCAAAAATGAAAGAAAAACGATCTGCAGCAGCTGCATTTGTTCATGGTCGAGAAATATTTGTCAGTGGTGGTTGGAATGGGAAACAACAGTTAGGAAATGTTGAAAGTTTAAATGTGGATGGAAAATTGCAATGGAAAATATCTCATGTCGTGTTACCAAGAAATTGTCTTGGACATAATATGGTTTATCATAATGATAATGTGATTATGATTGGTGGACATACTAGTAACGAAGTCTTTGATACAATCTACAGCATTCAACTAAATCCACCACATACGACAAAATCATTGGCACAAATACCAGAGCCAAGATGTTACCCTGGCTCAATTCTCATTGGCGGCGATGTTTTAGTATTTGGTGGGGAAATATCTAAGAAATGCGAAGACAACAAAAACACTGTTTATTCATACAGTCTCAGTAAAAAGGAATGCAAAACCTTGGCTCCACTTCCATATCCTGTAAGTTCCATGGGTATAGTCAGTTATAAAGGTAATGCAATCTTGATTGGAGGTTTTAGTGATGGAGGAGAAATATTGAAAAAAGTTTTGACGTATGATGTGAAAACAGGACAAACTAAAATGCTTCCTTCACTTAATCATAAAAGATGTGGATGTTCAGCAGTTATCATTGGAAATATTATTGTTGTGGTTGGTGGACATGATGGTGAATCATTTCTTCGTTCTGTTGAATGTCTTGATATGAGTACAAACGTTTGGAGAGAACTACCTCCTATGTTTACCAAACGAACTTGTCCTGCCGCAGTTGTTTCTCCAATTTATTAAAAATTTCATTACTAAAACATACATGTTTTATGTTTTACAAAAATAAATTTTGGCAGTCGTAATATGAAACAATCATTTTAGAAACTTAAGTCTGTAGTTTAAAGTACAACGTTTTTACTCGAATAGGTCGTCTACCTCTTTTATCGTAGCCATTTTAAGAAATGTCAATTTTCATGATGAGATTTATATTACTGATAAACTGTTAACATGTACGTAACCTATAATGCAATGTAAATAATTACCTTAAAGTTTCTAAAAACATATTTTGCAACAGCATGTTAATTATTCTTAATAACTATCACACATGTACATAGATATAGCTACCTAGGTCATGATTGTCACACAAGTACACAGATATAGCTACCTAGGTCATGATTGTCACACATGTACACAGATATAGCTACCTAGGTCATGATCGTCACACATGTACACAGATATAGCTACCTAGGTCATGATCGTCACACATGTACACAGATATAGCTACCTAGGTCATGATCGTCACACATGTACACAGATATAGTAGACAAAAGTTTGCTGTCAATTAGATGTTTGACCCGTCCTAAATGATGATTGAAAAATTGATTTCGCAAATGTATCCTACGAGTTTAGGAAGAAACAGTAGCTTGTACCTTACTTGATGATATTAAATGTATTTTTTTGTACGATTGCTTATGTATAGTACTTTGCTTGGCGCTGACATTCCAAATTATAATATATATTTCTGCACAAACTATACGTATTCATTCCCAAATGATATGCAATTGATCAATATTTAACTGCTCCACCTACCTGGTGTACCAATAGCAATTTGACAAAGTTTCAACTTGTTCTTGTCATCTTCAATAGACAAACCACCAATAAAAACATTTACATGAAGTCCTTGCATATGTTGACCAATAGAGTTCATTACATCCTTGATTTGAACAGCTATCTCTCGAGTCGGCACAAGAACCAACACTTGTATTGACATCATTGTAAGAATGATGCTTTCCAAAGCAATCACACTAAAGACACATGTTTTCCCTGTGCCTGATTTTGCTTGTGCAATCAAATCTATAAAGAAAGTGTTTTTTAAATTTTTAATTTTTTAGACAACAGACTTTACAAGGCTTAAATGGAATGTCATTTTAATGGAAAACCTTTGCATGAACTATCAAACTAAAAATTTTGAGTTCACTTTACTTTTCTTTTAGTGAGTGCTTTTCCTACATTAAGACTACATTTCCTTAACACCAAAAGCTATAAGAAGCCATCCAATTCAAAACTACTAAGCGTGCAATTTCATCAAAGCTTGGTGGTGACCCTTTGTAACATGTACATTGGTGAACTGAATGATGGTGAAATGACGTTTAAAAGTACTTCTGTTATCTTAATGGATTGTTTGATGAAAAGCTCAATAAGGAAAAGTTTACAATATGTTGACTATTATCAATGAAATCTAACTATCAATGCAGTGCCATTTCCAAGTTGCTAAGGCTTGTAGCACACTCACTGCCCACATGACACATGGCAAAATTTAGCTGAATGTATGAAACTGTTGTCAACAAAGAAACATCCTAAAGAAAAACAAGCATTATATACAACCCACTTAACTACACCACAACGACCAATAGGAATAGCTTTTAGTTGAATTGGTGATGGTCTTTCAAATCCAGCACTTTTCAACCCTTTGAGGACATCTTTGGATAAAATTAACCCTGAGAAATCGACTTTCTCATTGATTAAGACGTCTGCTGTGCGACGTTTTGCACTTAAACGATGTGCAATAACTCTACGGTGCATTTTCCTTAAAAATGTTCAAACTTTCTATTACAAAATTTGTTGAGTGAACATTGATACTTTGACCACTGAGCTGTATACTAATTAGCAGGGTGGATTCCACCACCTCATAAAAAATTTAATTTATACTTTTTTAAACATATGTTAACATCTTATACAGCAAATGTTGGTTAATTTTTTGTATTTATTAAAGAATTCATTCTCTGAACTAGTAATATTGGAATGTATGTTTTTTCAACCGACTATTTTTTTAACAACAGTAAAGTGACTATATAAAGTCTTTATAATTCTTGAGAGATTAAAAATTGACGTCCCGTTGACTTTTTTTACCGAAAAATTTCTAATATCCTTCAGTTCTCAGGCAAGTTTTGGATAAAATACGTGGACGGAAATTCTTACCACAACCAAAACATGCTTTGTAACATCATTAATAATTTTTGTACGCACAACGTACCTATTTTACACAGTCAGAGAAAGTGTGACCCAACTGGACCCAACCCCACGGTCTCCACCCAACTTAAAACATCGAAACATTACACTCTTTGAATACGAATTCTTGGTAATACTTAAACGTTCTCGATACAATTTTTGTAAAATAGACTTTTATTGCTTTTATAAAATGTGGAATACATTAAACGGTTGAAAAGATCGCAGTTTGAACTGATTTACTAAAAATTTGGCGACGATTGGGTAAAGAAATGACTATAACTGAATAACAATAATCTTAAATAAAAAATATCATAAAGTCATAATAACTTGACAAGTTCATGATAATATATGAAACAATTTTCTCTCAACTGATTACAAACAAACAATTATTATCTTTAAGTATAATTTTATGCAGGAACTTATCATAATGAACTATTGTCCAGCCGAAATCATGCATCAAACTTTACAAAAGATCACAGCTTGAAAACAACTTGGAGCAACAACTTTGTGTTGAATCATCCACCCATTTTCTTTCCATAGCAGAACATAAAATCGTAGACATGTATCGTTTTAGAAAGTAAGATATGTTTTGAGAAAATAAAAACCCGAGGACGTCATCTTGTCAAAGACATTCAAGAATCGATAAAAGATGGAAGATATACATAAAGAAAATGGAAACATTATTTCATGAAACAGAAATACGAACACACAATGTAAACTTGGTCAATCAATTATAAAAGTCTTCGACAATGGCTACAAATGACTCGTATGGTGGATATGAACAAGAGAGATTTCTCGATAAAGTTGATCCAATATTTGAATGTCCTATATGTTTTACAATATTTAAAGATCCTGTTCAATGTCTAAACGAACATTATTTCTGTCGCACTTGTATCGAAAGATACTTGTTAACTTCTGATAAATGTCCTGAATGTCGATGTCATCTCACTAGGGAGACATTAAAGACAGCGAGGTTAATGAGGGAAATGTTAGAAAATGTTGATATTCGCTGTGTGAATGCCAACCGTGGTTGTCCTCAAACTCTAAAGCTTAAATTTCTCCAACGTCATGAGAAGAACTGTGGTTATTCACCTACACCTTGTAGAAATAAAGGTTGTGATGAAATCATCAATAAAAACGAGATTGAAAAACATGAAAAGGAACGATGTGAGTTCCGTCTCATCGATTGTGAAGAATGCAAAAAGATTCTCGTATTCAAGCATAGGCGTTCTCATTCATGTTTCTTGAGGAAGGAGATTGACGAGTTGACCAAAAGATTGGAGATGTTTCAAAAGAGTCAAGATGACAGGGCAAAGCATGTAGAAGAGCAAGTGAAGTTGGCTCGTGATGAAATGGTGACACATGTTGAAGAGCAAGTGAGGTTAAGTCGTAATGAAATGACGTTTCTTACAACAGAAACGAGAGAAAGATGTAATTTTCTCACGGGAAAAGTAAAGATTTTTGTTTGTGGAGGTTATGATGGCAAGAATTGTTTAAATTCAGTCGAGTCTTTCAACTGGGATTTAAATTGTTGGCAGCAGGAACCACAAATGAAAGAAAAACGATCTTCAGCAGCTGCATTTGTTCATGGTCGAGATATATTCGTCAGTGGTGGTTGGAATGGGAAACAAGAGTTAGGAAATATTGAAAGTTTAAATGTGGATGGAAAATTGCAATGGAAAATATCTCCTGTCATGTTACGAAGAAATTGTCTTGGACATAGTATGGTTTATCATAATGATAAGGTGATTATGATTGGTGGATGTACTAGTAAGGAAGCCTTTGATACAATCTACAGTATTCAACTAAATCCTCCACATACGACAAAATTATTGAGGCTAATACCAGAGCCAAGATGTTACCATGGCTCAATTATCATTGGCGACGATGTTTTAGTATTTGGTGGGGCAACATCTGCACAATTCAAAGATGTCAAAAACACTGTTTATTCATACAGTCTTAGTAAAAACGAATGTAAAACCTTGGCTCCACTTCCATATCCTGTAAGTAACATGGGTATAGTCAGTTATAAAGGTAATGCAATCTTGATTGGAGGTTTAAATGATAAAGGTGAAAGACTAGATAAAGTTTTGATGTATGATGTGAAAACAGGACAAACTAAAATGCTTCCCTCACTTAATCATAAAAGATGTTCATGTTCAGCAGTTATCATTGGAAATATTATTGTTGTGGTGGGAGGATATAATGGTGAATCGTATCTTGATTCTGTTGAATGTCTTGATATGAGTACAAACCTTTGGAGAGATCTACCTCCTATGTTGACAAAACGAAATTTTCCTGCCCCAATTGTTTCTCCAATTTGTTAAAAATTTCATTACTAAAACATACATGTTTTATGTTTTACTAAAATAATTTTTGGCAGTCGTAAAATGAAACAACCATTTTAGAAACTTAAGTCTGTAGTTTAAAGTACAACGTTTTTGCTGGGAATAGGTTGCCTACCTCTTTTATCCTAGATATTTTAAGAAATGTCAACTTTCATGATGAGATTTATATTACTGATAAACTGTTAACATGTACGTAACCTAAATGCAATGTAAACAATTACCTGAAAGTTTCTAAAAACATATTTTGCAACAGCACGTTAATTATCATTTTAATGGAAAAAGTTTGCATGAACTATCAAACTAGAAATTTTGAGTTCACTTTACTTTTCTCATAGTGAGTGCTTTTCCTACATTAAGACTACATTTCCTTAACACCAAAAGCTATAAGAAGCCATCCAATTCAAAACTACTAAGCGTGCAATTTCATCAAAGCTTGGTGGTGACCCTTTGTAACATGTACATTGGTGAACTGAATGATGGTGAAATGACGTTTAAAAGTACTTCTGTTATCTTAATGGATTGTTTGATGAAAAGCTCAATAAGGAAAAGTTTACAATATGTTGACTATTATCAATGAAATCTAACTATCAATGCAGTGCCATTTCCAAGTTGCTAAGGCTTGTAGCACACTCACTGCCAGCATGACACATGGCAAAATTTAGCTGAATGTATGAAACTGTTGTCAACAAAGAAACATCCCACAGAAAAACAAGCATTATATACAATCCACTCACCTACACCACAACGACCAATAGGAATAGCTTTCAGTTGAATTGGTGATGGTCTTTCAAATCCAGCACTTTTCAACCCTTTGAGGACATCTTTGGATAAAATTAACCCTGAGAAATCGACTTTCTCATCGATTAAAACGTCTGCTGTGCGACGTTTTGCATTTAAACGATGTGCAATAACTCTACGGTGCATTTTCCCTAAAAATGTTCAAACTTTCTGTTACAAAATTTGTTGAGTGAACATTGATACATTGACCACTGACCTGTATACTGATTAGCTGGATGGGTTCCTCCACCCCAAAGAAAATTAAATTCATACTTTTTTAAACATATGTTAACATCTTATACAGCAAATGTTGGTTAATTTTTTGTATTTATTAAAGAATTCATTCTCTGAACTAGTAATATTGGAATGTATGTTTTTTCAACCGACTATTTTTTTAACAACAGTAAAGTGACTATATAAAGTCTTTATAATTCTTGAGAGATTAAAAATTGACGTCCCGTTGACTTTTTTTACCGAAAAATTTCTAATATCCTTCAGTTCTCAGGCAAGTTTTGGATAAAATACGTGGACGGAAATTCTTACCACAACCAAAACATGCTTTGTAACATCATTAATAATTTTTGTACGCACAACGTACCTATTTTACACAGTCAGAGAAAGTGTGACCCAACTGGACCCAACCCCACGGTCTCCACCCAACTTAAAACATCGAAACATTACACTCTTTGAATACGAATTCTTGGTAATACTTAAACGTTCTCGATACAATTTTTGTAAAATAGACTTTTATTGCTTTTATAAAATGTGGAATACATTAAACGGTTGAAAAGATCACAGTTTTAACTGATTTACTAAAAATTTGGCGACGATTGTGTAAAGAAATGAATATAACTGAATAACAATAATCTTAAATAAAAAATATCATAAAGCCATAATAACTTGACAAGTTTATGATAATATATGAAACAATTTTCTCTCAACTGATTATAAACAAACAATTATTATCCTTTAAGTATAATTTTATGCAGGAACTTATCATAATGAACTATTGTCCAGCCGAAATCATGCAACAAACTTTACAAAAGATCACAGCTTGAAAACAACTTGGGGCAACAACTTTGTGTTGAATCATCCACCCATTTTCTTTCCATAGCAGAACATAAAATCGTAGATATGTATCGTTTTAGAAAGTAAGATATGTTTTGAGAAAATAAAAACCCGAGGAAGTCATCTTATCAAAGACATTCAAGAATCGATAAAAAGATGGAAGATATGCATAAAGAAAATGGAAACATTATTTCATTAAACAGAAATACGAACACACAATGTAAACTTGGTCAATCAATTATAAAAGTCTTCGACAATGGCTACAAATGACTCGTATGGTGGATATGAACAAAGAGAGATTTCTCGATAAAGTTGATCCAATATTTGAATGTCCTATATGTTTTACAATATTTAAAGATCCTGTTCAATGTCTAAACGAACATTATTTCTGTCGCACTTGTATCGAAAGATACTTGTTAACTTCTGATAAATGTCCTGAATGTCGATGTCATCTCACTAGGGAGACATTAAAGACAGCGAGGTTAATGAGGGAAATGTTAGAAAATGTTGATATTCGCTGTGTGAATGCCAACCGTGGTTGTCCTCAAACTCTAAAGCTTAAATTTCTCCAACGTCATGAGAAGAACTGTGGTTATTCACCTACACCTTGTAGAAATAAAGGTTGTGATGAAATCATCAATAAAAACGAGATTGAAAAACATGAAAAGGAACGATGTGAGTTCCGTCTCATCGATTGTGAAGAATGCAAAAAGATTCTCGTATTCAAGCATAGGCGTTCTCATTCATGTTTCTTGAGGAAGGAGATTGACGAGTTGACCAAAAGATTGGAGATGTTTCAAAAGAGTCAAGATGACAGGGCAAAGCATGTAGAAGAGCAAGTGAAGTTGGCTCGTGATGAAATGGTGACACATGTTGAAGAGCAAGTGAGGTTAAGTCGTAATGAAATGACGTTTCTTACAACAGAAACGAGAGAAAGATGTAATTTTCTCACGGGAAAAGTAAAGATTTTTGTTTGTGGAGGTTATGATGGCAAGAATTGTTTAAATTCAGTCGAGTCTTTCAACTGGGATTTAAATTGTTGGCAGCAGGAACCACAAATGAAAGAAAAACGATCTTCAGCAGCTGCATTTGTTCATGGTCGAGATATATTCGTCAGTGGTGGTTGGAATGGGAAACAAGAGTTAGGAAATATTGAAAGTTTAAATGTGGATGGAAAATTGCAATGGAAAATATCTCCTGTCATGTTACGAAGAAATTGTCTTGGACATAGTATGGTTTATCATAATGATAAGGTGATTATGATTGGTGGATGTACTAGTAAGGAAGCCTTTGATACAATCTACAGTATTCAACTAAATCCTCCACATACGACAAAATTATTGAGGCTAATACCAGAGCCAAGATGTTACCATGGCTCAATTATCATTGGCGACGATGTTTTAGTATTTGGTGGGGCAACATCTGCACAATTCAAAGATGTCAAAAACACTGTTTATTCATACAGTCTTAGTAAAAACGAATGTAAAACCTTGGCTCCACTTCCATATCCTGTAAGTAACATGGGTATAGTCAGTTATAAAGGTAATGCAATCTTGATTGGAGGTTTAAATGATAAAGGTGAAAGACTAGATAAAGTTTTGATGTATGATGTGAAAACAGGACAAACTAAAATGCTTCCCTCACTTAATCATAAAAGATGTTCATGTTCAGCAGTTATCATTGGAAATATTATTGTTGTGGTGGGAGGATATAATGGTGAATCGTATCTTGATTCTGTTGAATGTCTTGATATGAGTACAAACCTTTGGAGAGATCTACCTCCTATGTTGACAAAACGAAATTTTCCTGCCCCAATTGTTTCTCCAATTTGTTAAAAATTTCATTACTAAAACATACATGTTTTATGTTTTACTAAAATAATTTTTGGCAGTCGTAAAATGAAACAACCATTTTAGAAACTTAAGTCTGTAGTTTAAAGTACAACGTTTTTGCTGGGAATAGGTTGCCTACCTCTTTTATCCTAGATATTTTAAGAAATGTCAACTTTCATGATGAGATTTATATTACTGATAAACTGTTAACATGTACGTAACCTAAATGCAATGTAAACAATTACCTGAAAGTTTCTAAAAACATATTTTGCAACAGCACGTTAATTATCATTTTAATGGAAAAAGTTTGCATGAACTATCAAACTAGAAATTTTGAGTTCACTTTACTTTTCTCATAGTGAGTGCTTTTCCTACATTAAGACTACATTTCCTTAACACCAAAAGCTATAAGAAGCCATCCAATTCAAAACTACTAAGTGTGCAATTTCATCAAAGCTTGGTAGTGACCCTTTGTAACATGTACATTGGTGAACTGAATGATGGTGAAATGATGTTTTAAAGTACTTCTGTTATCTTAATGGATTGTTTGATGAAAAGCTTGATAAGGAAAAGTTTCCAATATGTTGACTATTATCAATGAAATCTAACTATCAATGCAGTGCCATTTCCAAGTTGCTAAGGCCTGTAGCACACTCTCTGCCCACATGACACATGGCAAAATTTAGCTGAATGTATGAAACTGTTGTAAACAAAGAAACATCCTACAGAAAACAAAGCATTTTATACAATCCACACACCTACACCACAACGACCAATAGGAATAGCTTTCAGTTGAATTGGTGATGGTCTTTCAAATCCAGCACTTCTCAACCCTTTGAGGACATCTTTGGATAAAATTAACCCTGAGAAATCGACTTTCTCATTGATTAAAACGACTGCTGTGCGACGTTTTGCATTTAAACGATGTGCAATAACTCTACGGTGCATTTTCCCTAAAATCGTTCAAACTTTCTATTACAAAATTTGTTGAGTGAACATTGATACTTTGACCACTGACCTGTGTACTAATTAGCTGGATGGATCCTCCACCTCATAAAAAATTAAATTTATACTTTTCTAAAATATATGATAATATCTTAATTTTTTTAACTTTTTAAAGAATTCATTCTCTGAAATAGTAATATTGAAAATTTTTATTTATAAATCAGCCTACAGTTTCAATTATTGAGCATGTTAATTTATTAGAATTATGGTTGGTCATCACTGGTCAACTGACCTCTAACACACAAAGCGAATTATTTAAACCTGATTGAACAACAATTTAGCATTAGTCGTTTTATGAAATGAAATTAATTTAATAAAGATTTTCTTAAATCAAAACTACACTTTCTTTCATATAACCACAGTAAAGGGACTATATAGAGTCTTTATAATTCTTGAGATATTAAAAATTGATGTCCTGTTGACTTTTTATTAACGAAAAACGTCTAAAATCCTTCAGCTCTCAGGCAGGTTTTGGATAAAATACGTGGACTGAAGGTTTTCCAACTCGACCCAGCCCCACGGTCCCCAGCCAACGTTAAACTTCGAAACTTTAGACTTTTTGAATACGAATTCTTGGTAATAATTAAACATTCTTCACCCAACTATTTAAAAATAAACAGCTATTATATAATGTGTTGATAAAATGTTGAATACATGATGATAAAATGTTGAATACATTAAACGGTTGAAAACATCACAGTTTGAACTGATTTACTAAAAATTTGGCGACGATTGTACAAAGAAATGAATATAACTGAATAACAATAATCTTAAATAAAAAATATCATAATAGCTTGACAAGTTTATAATAAAATATGAAATTCTCTCAACTGATTTCAAGCAAGCAATTATTATCATTGAAGTATAATTTTATGCAGGAATGTGTCAAAATGAACTTTTGTCCAGCCGAAATCATGCAACTAACTTTACAAAAGATCACAGCTTGAAAACAACTTGGGGCAACAACTTTATGTTGAATCATCCACCCATTTTCTTTCCATAGCAGAACACAAAATCGTAGACATCTATCGTTTTAGAAAGCAAGACATGTTTTGAGAAAATAAAAACCCGAGGAGGTCATCTTTTCAAACACATTCAAGAATCGATAAAAGATGGAAGATAAGCATAAAGAAAATGGACACGTTATTTCATGAAATAGAAATACGAACATACAATGTAAACTTGGTAAGTAAATTATAAAAGTCTTCAACAATGGCTACAAATGACTCGTATGGTGGATATGAACAAGAGAGATTTGCCGATAAAGTTCATCCAAGATTTGCATGTCCCACATGTTTCAAAATATTTAAAGATCCTGTTCAATGTCCAAACAAACATTATTTCTGTCGCACTTGTATCGAAAGATACTTGTTAACTTCTGATAAATGTCCTGAATGTCGATGTCATCTCACTAAGGAGACATTAAAGACCGCGAGGTTCTTTAGGGAAATGTTAGAAGATCTTCATATTTGCTGTGTGAATGCCAACCGTGGTTGTCTTCAAAGACTAAAGCTTCAATTTCTTCAACGTCATGAGAAGAACTATGGTTATTCACCTACACCTTGTAGAAATGAAGGTTGTGACAAAATCCTTAATAAAAACGAGATTGAAGAACATGAAAGGGAACGATGTGAGTTCCGTCTCATCGATTGTGAAGAATGCAAAAAGATTCTCGTATTTAAGCATAGGCGTTCTCATTCATGTTTCTTGAGGAAGGAGATTGACGAGTTGACCAAAAGATTAGAGATGTTTCAAAAGAGTCAAGATGACAGGGTTAAGCATGTAGAAGAGCAAGTGAGGTTAAGTCGTAATGAAATGACGTTTCTTACAACAGAAACGAGACAAAGATGTAATTTTCTTACGGGAAAACTAAAGATATTTGTTTTTGGAGGTTGTGATGACGAAGATGCTCTAAATTCTGTCGAGTCTTTTAACTGGGATGTAAATTGCTGGCAACAGGAACCAGAAATGAAAGGAGAACGATTTGCAGCAGCTGCATTTGCTCATGGTCGAGAATTATTTGTTAGTGGTGGTTTGAATGACGAGAAATGCATCGCAAATATGGAAAGTTTAAATGTGGATGGAAAATCAGAATGGAAAATATCTCATGTCATGTTACCAAGAAATTGTGCTGGACATAGTATGGTTTATCATAATGATAATGTGATTATGATTGGTGGATGTAATGAAAACGAAGCATTTGATACAATCTACAGTATTCAATTAAATCCTCCACATACGACAAAATTATTGGCGCGAATACCAGAGCTAAGAGTTTACCATGGCTCAATTGTCATTGACGACGATGTTTTGGTATTTGGTGGGGCAACATCTAACGATTTCGAAGTTATCAAAAACACTGTTTATTCATACAGTCTCAGTAAAAAGGAATGTAAAACCTTGACTCCACTTCCATATCCTGTAAGTGAAATGGGTATAGTCAGTTATAAAGGAAATGCAATTTTGATTGGAGGTTTAAATGATAAAGATGAAAGTCTAGATAAAGTTTTGATGTATGATGTGAAAACAGGACAAACTAAAACGCTTCCTTCACTTAATCATAAAAGATCTGGATGTTCAGCAGTTATCATTGGAAATATTATTGTTGTGGTTGGTGGGTGTGATGGTGAACCAGATCTTGATTCAGTTGAATGTCTTGATATGAGTACAAACGTCTGGAGAGAACTACCTCCTATGTTGACCAAACGAAGTTATCCTGCTACAGTTGTTTCTCCAATTTATTAAAAATTTCATTACTAAAACATACATGTTTTATGTTTTACAAAAATAAACTTTGGCAGTCGTAATATGAAACAATCATTTTAGAAACTTAAGTCTGTAGTTTAAAGTACAACGTTTTTACTCGAATAGGGCGCCTACCTCTTTTATCGTAGCCATTTTAAGAAATGTCAATTTTCATGATGAGATTACTGATAAACTGTTAACATGTACGCAACCTATAATGCAATGTAAATAATTACCTGAAAGTTTCTAAAAACATATTTTGCAACAGCATGTTAATTATTCTGTCATTGGGCAATTGTTGAACAACTGGTAACAGCTTACCATTTTGGATTATTGTAAAGCTTCGGCAAGTTGGTGGTGGAGCCATATTCATGACCTTGCTGAATGTGACCATTGCAGCTTGCCCTCGACCAAATTCTCGAAATGCTAGGACTAGGACTGCTCGGACATTAACTTCGTGTGAACAGCCTTGCTTTTTAAATGTGTTGAAACTATACTTCCACTCACATTCTTTATTCTTACATTGAAGAACAATATAATGTGCATAGCCTTTCCTTTTCCTCAAGTCAACATGGGATTCCAACTGCTTTCGCAACCAGGGCATTTTAAAATTTCATCAAAAACACCAAACAGCAAAGACAAGTCCATAAACACGGTGCCTTCTTTTGCAGTGTGTAGATTATTAAAAGTTTCGCCAATGCTCCTCGTTTGATAACTTATTTTCTTTCCAGAAGGTCCTGGGTTTGCGTCATCGTTTCCGCCATGTTTTGACTTCTTTGTCATTTTTGATGGCGGAGTTCTAACAGCTTTTCTCTTTCTATTTCGACTATTCCCCATTATTTTTCACTCTGATTATTAATGGAATAACAAAATGGAAAGGTCCGAAATACTTACAAAAAGACTTTTCGCCTTAGAGATACAAAATATAATGTTTTTTTGAAGAGCAACTTTTCTAAACGATCGATCACTAACTTATCTTTCATCTACAGAATAATACAAACGTTGACATGGTATTCATAAAACTGTTTCAGGCGTTGAAGGAAGAACATGACGTGACTGCAACAGGTACAATGAACTTTAACGATGTAACACTTACCACAGAATAGATAACATACAGAAGGGCCACTTCGCGAAAAATGCGGTCCTAAATTTTAATGCGCATGCGCCACTTCCGCCATGTTGGCAGCAAGATAAACTTGCTACACTAAATAAGGGTAGCAATGTACAACTCAAAAATCTTGGCGTTATTACTTGAAAAGTTGAAATATTTATCCTGAGACGACCAAATGAAAGCTGTGCTGAAATGGGAACATACAATCAACATATTTTTATGCTTTTTCATGTACAACCAATGTGTGCAATTCTATCGAGACCTGTATGAGAAATGCTGTGCCGTGGCCGTGTGGTCAAGGTTATTCGTATTTATTTATTTGTAAAGAACGGGAGCGGAAAAGCGCTTAACGAACGTCTTTAAATCAGAAACAAGAAGGAACAATGTGAAATATATCAACGAACGGGCTACACTAAAAAAGATATTTCGTATGACATTGGATTTGGTGCTTTAGAATTCAGACAAATTTAGTCATATCCCGAACATTCGATAAATGTTCATTGAGAAATTGCAAACTTGTGCAATTGTATTTAATGCCAATGCCATATTGTGTTGGGAAAATTCTTATATTGTATGGTTGTAGCTAACTTCCAGATGCTCTTAACTATATGTTCCTTATATTTGTCATGTTTTAGATAATTTAAAGTATTGATTCCGTTGTAAGGAAATAAAATTGTCCTCTTGCTTCTATTAATATATATTTATTGTTATTTTCGTTACATCGCTGTCGCTGCATTAATTTTCAGATTAATTTTCAAGTTAAATATGCTGCACAAATATTCAGCCACACCATTGCTGCATCAATTTACACATATTCATCAATTGGAGCACTACCACCATCAGCCTTGGGTACAGCTGAGTTGCTTTTCAAATTTGATTCACTTTTCGATTGCGTCAATAGTTCCACACTGAAATCAGCAAAAGAACAAAGAAGTGCAATAAGCAACAGCAATAATCACATTGCTTTTCTCAAAGAAGCAATGTCCTTTATCCAGGGAATCAAAGTGGTAAAAGATGGTAAAAACATAACAGGCAGAATCAAATCACTGAAGGGATGGCTTATATCTATAAAGGCCATTATGTGTCTCTGGGCACTTACTAAGAAAAAGCGTTCGTATTCCAGACTATGTAAGATCAGCAGCTGTTGCAAATGAACAGAAAATGATTTGGTTGATTCGTTTAGTCGAATTACTTATCATGGACTCTGATTTCGTATTTGAGTATCAAGTGTAGTTCTTAGAAATTTCATTATATGCCTCATCTCACAATATATTAAAACTCCTATACTGTTGGATCTGATAGTACCAAAAAACAGGACAATAAGGACATAATACGATATGTAAGCATAAAATATTAGGAAAAACGAGACAAGGTTAACAAGGACAGGTGCTAAAGTGCAATCGTCTGTTGAACCTTCGTGGTGTTTAAATTTCAAAATAAACTAAGAATGGTGCGAACTCAATTCTATCGTACGAAATAAGTCAAATGAAAGAACTTTATCTTTAACAAGATACAACGTAAATGTAAAATGAAGACTTTTATACTAAAATGTAGATAAAGCTAAAACAAGATTATTGAAGAAAAAAGACAGGCTCTTTTTAATGCTCCCAAGTATTACTTTAAAACAATCCTACTTAGAAGTTCAATATTATTCTCAAATATTTTGTATACTGTTTGCTGGAGTTGATTCCGATTTCATTTAAAATAAGATCGTCATTTGATTCTTTTTTGTAGTTTGTCGATATATAAGTATAAATTGATGTACAAAATGAATATATTCTTTTGTTTAGCTATCTTATAATTATTTTCTAAAATTGTGACACAAACAACAATACGCAAATATGAGTTTTTTTTTGAAAATCTTTCAATAAAAGGGAAACAACATCTTGTGACTTGTCACAGCCTGCATCACACACAGCGACAGGGGGGGACACAACATTACTGACTTCGTTTTCACTTCGTCAATGACGTAATAGCAAGCAAGTTCATTTGACATTCATGTTATATTTAAGTAACATAAATAATTTTAATTTTTCCATTTAAGTAACATAAATATAAATTTAATTTTTCCATCTTCATCCTTACAAAATCCTCACGGAACCTATTAAAAACAGAGTAGGTATTTTAGCCGATTAAAATACCAGATATCCCTCATCAATAACTTTCATGATAAAACTTCGTGTATTTCATTATGTGATTGGTTTGTTTATCGTAGGCTCTATACCACATGCTTGTCCAATCAACGGGCAACTGCGCCATGTAAGCTGTGACGTCATCAGTGGTGGCACCATAAAACATGGCTTCGTTGCCATGGTTCCATATGTTGAGGGAATCGGTGGAATTGACTGTCGTATTTGTTTTATTAGTTTCTAAATTGCAGGATTGTGCACCAACACATTCTTGTGGAGCAGAAGTTCTCATTTCAAAAACTTCTCTTCCATAACCAGAGACGAATTCTGTTGAGCCAAATTCATTAACCTCATTGAGCAAGCTTGTTCTCTTTGCCAAACAGGATAATGGTTTTTCATTTTCTAAATCTTTATGAAGGCCTGTGTTTGCATGATAGTTTAAATGTTTTACAAACATATCATCAAAATACCTGCATGAGATAGGCGCGTGCAAATCGCTCGATTTTTCACACAAATCGCGCAGCTTTACACACAAATCGTGTGCTACTTCACACGAAACACGCGAGTCTTTACACGAACCACGCAAATTTTCATACGATTCATACGACTCTTCACACGCACTACTTGACTCTTCACTCAAATCACATGATTCTTCAGTAGAATCACATGACTCTTCAGTAGAATCACATGACTCTTCGCAATTTTGGCTTGATAATACACAATCATCACAAACGGAGGATTCCGACATCTTACATTCATCCAATTTGTTTTTCTCAGTAAAAAATCCATTACCCCATTGTTTATGAAAGATGACTTGTGACGTTGAAGGATAAATCATAGCACTTTTAAAGTTATTTAGTTTGTTTTGTGTATCGTACATTGTTTCAATGTTGTGTTCACTTTTGATTTCTTTTCCTTCTACACTGTTCACTTTGGATGTCGTACCTTCCTGATTTTCAACAGCAACATTTTCACTCTTAACGTCAACAAATTCGTTTTTCACATTACCCATAATTCCTGGATCCTCGACAGTCTGTCCGTTTCCTTGACGACAAACGCCAGCAACAACAGAAGCTTGAGATGTGTAAATGTTCTTGTTTTCAGCCAACTCATCATCTTTAATAATGCCATAGTTCAAGATTTCCGTTGTGGAACTTTCGCTATTGTCTGAATTATTTTCAATTGCTCCCGTTAACATTTCTTTATTTTTCTTTTGTTCATTAATGTGAACACATTCAAAACTTTTATCAACAACAATGTCAGTGAAAGCTACAATCTCATGAATTTTATTCTTCGCTCCTCCATTCAAGCCTTCAACTAAATTTTCTTTCGTCATTGTGGAACTCGTTTCGCCATTATGAACAAGGTTTGTAGTTTCACTGCAAACGACATCATCTTCTTTCGCCTTCCCTTCTCCAACTATGGTTGTAGCAGCCGTAGAAGTTAATGAAGGTATCTCACCTTTTGACTTCATCAAACTACATTCAGCAAACGCATCTTCACATATGAGCTCAGATAAATCTTCTAAATATTAATAATAATTATGATAATGACAATGATAGTAATATTTCTAAATACTAATAATATAAATACTAAATGTGGAAGCAAATATATTTTAGATTATTATAAAAAATTCATATCATGCTATGATATTACTCTTTAAAACATAAACATTACCTGGCATAGGATCGAAGTTTATTCCACATTTAATTTCGATGTCTTTCAAACTTGATTCCTCTTTTCCTGCGGCCACGAAATTT